TGCAATTGAAAGTGACGATCTGTTGAGCCAAACGAATTGAATTGGTCAACTTTCCTTTTTATTAAGTACACACGCTCCTCGCAATTTTCGGCATAATTGCACTTCAATAACAATAACATTGGCAAGATATGCCTGCATGATACTTGCGATAAACGTTGCCATGTGCGAATGGTGCTGGCACATGCTCACTCAAGATTACATAGCCATGAATATGATTTTGATACCATGCATTCGCTTTGTTTTCGTTGATGTTTTTTGGAGCGCGTAAAAATTAAGTGCAGGTGTACGGACATTTCAGTGCTGCTGATGTGCGCGCGTACGCTCACCACACACACAGTACGGTAGACGGAGTGTCACGTGTCAATAAAATACACGTCAACTCCAAGGAATGTATCAATTTTGCGAGAGAAAAATGAATTGACCATCAAAATTCAATAACGTCAATGCAATCACCTTTAGTTCAATTTCTTCTTCTTTTTTTGTTGGTTTCGGTCGACCAAAGTAAGTGGTTAATATGTAAATTTCATGCTCAAATTCAGTGCCTCTGGCAAACGTTTTGCATGGCATTTGTCATCCAAGGTGATTTTTGTTCACATTTCGGCATCATATTGATTTTCATATAATAGATACCGATCAAATGTTATCGAGATTGTGATTATGGCTAATAAAATAGGTGAGATTACAAGGAACACATTTGGCTACTGAACTGATGAGCACAACACGATTTTAAATGCATTTCGCGGGCTGAAAGTGTTCCCGAATATACGTAATTACATCGATGTTTTTGCAAAAAAAAAGATTGCTCAATGTTATTGTAACCAACGGAAATCGACTCAAACCGATAATCACAGGACCATTAACAGCATGAACCAACCATTATACTGAGCAATATTTCATGTTGAATTATAACTTCTTGATGTCGATGCGTTCAAGATTTTATCGCCATCGCGATGTTTTTATTAGAAACATTTACTTAAGTACATTTTTGTGTTTCAACTGAAAGACTCGCCAAAAAAAAATGCGTCAATGTTTCATCGCAGTTCATAAAACCACAACCGAAACGCAACAGCGCAGAAGCAACAACAATATAAAAACAATCTGCTTTTTATCGCATTTATGTGGATCGGGATAAGAGACAGTCGCTCGTCAACATAATTCGGAAATGTGATATTAAATCGCGTTTCACCTGCCCATATTCGGTGTTTAAATTTCCTTTTTATATGATTCAAGCGGTCAATATCAATTACTCGTTATATTGTAAATTAGATGTTTCTCGCAAAAGCCGCTAACATCTGATATTTGCTCGTTTTTTTTTGCCTCGCTGTGTAACATTGTCGAAACGAAAACATTTCAACAATGTAAAAGGAGTCGAGAGTGCGAATCTGAGAAATAGCCGAAAGACGATAATTAAATTGATGAAAATGCTTGAGTTTTTATTTTCTCTTTTGGTCGGGAATCTATGAGCTAATGACGAGAATAGAATGCATTCGTTTGTATGATGGTGCAAAACAGAAAAAAAAAAGACGAGCTAATTTAGAAAATGGCCAAAGAATACATTTGGCAATTCATTAAATATCCATTAATCCTCATATCGTTGAAAATGTTCCGGCATCATAACACATATACTCGCGTTGCAAAAGAGGTAAATCACGAAATAACAATAACAATAACGATAAAGTTCACTCGGCGAACAAAAAAAAAAAGGAAGAGAACAAAATGTTCATTCATTTAATCGACTTAAAAAGGAACATATCCTAATCAAGCCTATTAAATCGCAATTAAATTACCATTCACCTGTCGGCAACAACAAATTGGCCAAATGTAAATACATCGCAGCGCAAACGCAAAGAATAATCAAGATAAAAGTGTAATTGTAATCCTTTTTTGCGTATCTCTCTGCTCTGTGCACTTTCAACAGGAAAGACGCTAATCGGCGCACATTAGCGATTTATGTTGCGGCGCACAATGCACGATCATTGTAAATATTTGAGAAAGCTAGAAATCGCGAATGGATGTGATTTATCATTGGACTGTTACATTGGAGCAAATCACTTGATTGCGAAATAAACGGTTTTTAAATGAGAATTCACGTCCAGATTCCATCGTTTAAAAACCCATTTATTTTGATTTTAAACACATGAATTGAAAAGGATCCCGTTGAAATGGACAAGAAATTGTCACCGCTGAACGAAATTTGCATTTGACAACGAAAATGAATTCAATAAAATGCAAGCCACTCTGTATGAAAGCGATCTGTCAATCCAGTTGATTTATGGCATTTCCCACAGTAAATCACTCGCGAAATTAATGACCAGTGGCGAATGGAATTAAAACCGCCGCAAATTAAATGCAGCAATTCAACTAAAACAATTGTTTGACCAAACGACTGAATTAAAGGCAATTCCAACGAAACAAAAATTGGTCAACATTAATTAACTTATCATCAGCAATGATCACAATGCGCTGTCGGGGTCACACTGCACGCAGCAAACATAAATTATTCAATTTGAGCTGCCTTTGATGACGAGCATTGATGCTCAGCATCCAAACAGAAGGCAGTGTCTGCAAGTGTGTGTGCCAGCAATCAATCCAATTTAGCAATCAAAAATATACGAAGGCGTTTGAAACAGTAACCGCGGCCCGCCACACAAAGCACTCGACTGCAATTTCCTTTGAAGAGCGCCGGACTGAAACCAGTTTTAAATGCTTTAATTGGAAATAGCAACACAACGCCATAATTCAAATTCCGGGCCAATTCCTTAATTCGATTGTACCAATTTCAAAGTATGCGCTTGTTTTGTGCCGAATACCACTGGAATTGTTGCTGGTGTTGTCGTTCAATGTTGAATGTTTGTGTGTTTAAAATTGAGTCCTTGGAATAAAATGTTGCCCAAGGATGAGCTCATTTTGAAGAGAAAAAAAATGTTTTTCTTTCAAGAACATTTTTTTTTTACATTTTAAATCCAATTGACTTTTATCCTTGTATTGATCGATTGAATAATGTTTATCGAATCGGAATTATCAATAGAAAAAGAAACGCGAAACGCAGCACAACGAATTAGAAGAAGGATTAAAAATAGTGTTTTTTTATTATTCAAGGAATTGATTCGATTTTGGGGCAAAAGTTGGTAATTCGATTCACAGCAATTACTTCGATTTTAAATAAAAGTCGCAATTAGATGGTTGCAAAGGTCATTAAATTTAATCGGATCCCGTCAGAATATGCATTCACAATTATATATCTTCATCTTTATTCGTACATATCTTTCCATTCGTATGTTTTCAGATTAAAACATAGCGAAACCACGAAGAATGGTTCAATTGCAAAGGAATAAATAATTGAAATGGTAAATTGCTTTACGCCTTTTGTTCATTCCGTTTCATCCTTTGATAAATACATATTTTATTCACGTTTTATGACTTTTGTTTTGGTAATTGTAACGTCACGAAGGACAATCGGCGACTTTTTCTGACTTGAGCATCTGTTTTGCTAGCTCGTTGTTCATTTATATCATAAGGAATATTTCGCTGAGCCGGGCCATGTCAAATATCTATATGCACACACACCAATCGTACAGATGGAAACTAAAAATTTATCGCCTTAATCGTATCAAATAAATTTAAATAAGAAAATTAACGATTTCAATTCGATTCACCACAATTGCACTCAGAACGACTTCATAAATTATAATCTATGAATAAAATTAATTCATGAAAATGCCAATTAAAAAAAAATTGAAAACATTGCCAATATTGGCATCGACATGTGTAACACATCCCGGCGCAATTAAATCGCACAAACCAGCCCATGAACGAAATGGACTTTGGCAATGAACATTGACCAGTTGTAGTAAACCGTTATAGCCGTGATTCTTATCAAAATTTGATCGCCAAAATGAAAATTTATGCAAAGTTATGCATTAATGTCCTGCCCGTCGCATACAGAAGCTTAAGTTTTAATAACGTTCAATAATGTCATAAATTAAATGTGACAACAAATAAGTCGCATTTATCACCTCGTCACCTGACCACACGACGCTTGGCACACATTGTAGCCGCCAGATCATATGTGGTGCACGCACACACCAGTCGAACAGAACGTCGAATACAGTAATTAAATGTATGGAGCCGTTATAATTCACGCACAAAGCTAAACAGCAACTGGCAAAATTGGTGTCACGATTTCAATTGGCCTTCATCTCAACTATCCTTATTGATGTGCACTGATGAAATGAAGAGATTGAAAACCAACATCGAATACCCCACATACAATGTTTTTCCTACACTCACCACGACACCACGATTAACATGCTCAGCGAAAGCAATTATAAAAAGCAACTGAAAAATTCCAAAGTTTTTGTGTCACTTGCGACACGAAAAAAGCGGAAGCCAAGGCAAAATTCCCGAATAAAATAACACCATATTCGTTCATATAAATGCACTCAACCATTCTCCATCGTGTACTAGTTTGATGCGGGACAAAAAATGCAAATGATGGCATTTCACTGCAAAGCGCATACGTGACCACAACGATTTTATGATTTATGATGATCGATTAATATAAAAAAATATTCAGAAGTTTTTGTTCGTTCACTCACTCACTCACTCGTTCGTTCGTTCGTTGTGGCGGCACAGTCAACTTGATTTTGATATGGGCGCTCAAGATGCTTTATTACGACACTTGATGCATAATAATTCAAAATTATGACACAATTTATCGTTTCACAGGTCGGAAGAACTTTTTCTGCTGTTTTTGCCTTCTTCCGTTATCGTTTCTTTTGAACGACTTGTCACCAGCCCCACGGCGGTTGGCCTACATTTTGAAACGGAGTTAGAACCGAATCGGTCTGTATACTATACATAGCATATGTTATTAAATTAATAGAAGGCAGGCATTTGTATCTTATCATTATTCACATGTAAACCTTATCTTATTTGAAAGTCTGAGATTTTTTGTTTGCACATATTTTATTATGTCATCAGAGAAAGTGTATCCCATTGTGAAAACTACTTTAATTAGTCATAATAAATATATTTAACCGATCCAGGTACTTGTTGGCTCATTTGGCTGAGGATCCAGTAAAGATGTGAATGAACTCGAGTGAAAACATCTGGAAATCCTCTGGCACACTGTAAAGTGAAAAACTTCATTTTTAGAACATTTTTTACGTTTTTGATAATCCTTAACTTACCGGAACACCCCAAGAAACAACGCCAGCCAAAACTTTGTTATTTGGATCGGATATATCAACCAATGGTCCGCCGCTATCTCCCATACATGTGCCCATTCCACTTGTATACGTACTTGTTGTGCAAATGACTGCATCATTCAGATTTGCTTTCAAGTTTTTCCCTTCAAACCGACGAATACACGTACTAAGATCAAGCGTGCGAAGCTGAAGGTAATTCAAAATTGGTGACAAAGTATGGCCCGGATCCTAGAGAGAAAGGTGAAGATTGAACATCATTACGAATTTGTTGGAAAATGAAAAATCCTCAAAATATTCTCAATACTTACACCAGAAGGTAGCCCCCATCCAGCAATTACAACTGGAGCGTTACTTTCTGTGTTTGAGAATGGTAAATTGATGGGCCAGACTTGCGATGAGAATTGAATCTCTTGATGGGTTCGGATCAATGAGATGTCATTGCTGAAGATGCTTATATCGAACGCTGGATGTGGAGTAATCTCTTCCAAAGTGTAAGCTTTGCCTTTGGCTCCTTGTCCGGTCCATCCAACCACAGCATACAAGCTACTAGCTTGTGAGTATTGACCTCTGGTACAATGTGCTGCTGTCAATATGAACCGGCTACGTATCGGAATTTAAAGCATTTTATTTTCTTTTTTTGTTAATTTTTTCTTCGATTTCATTTATGGCTGCTTATTTTGCCGATTACTTACCTATTTAGAATAGCAGCTCCGCAATAATGGTCATATGACATCCACTTTCGGAGCGAAACTTGATAGGGGAATTGGCCATCGAATGCTGCTCTGCCACCAACAATTCGCGTCATTGGGGTAGCGTCATCTTTGACGGTTTCATTGTCTGGCCAATCAAAAAACCGTTCGAATTCTGTGTCTGCTGCTACACAGGCGAAACAAACTGCTAAAAAGAACAACTTTAAAGTCTCCATCTTAAACGTTTTAATCACTGAAATGCAAATTCTACAAATGCTAATGAATGGAACATCTCATCATCTTTTTATAGTAAATTTAATCTACAGCAAAATGAATAAGATTGTTTATCAACAGATAAAAAACACATGCTGCCGTTATTTACACTAAAACCATGATGTTGCCTTGAACTCGAACTCCAGAAAAAATGACCCGATTTTAATAAATAAATCACGACTACGAATCATTGTGAGTAAGTGAGTAGCTTTAGATGAGTTTTTTTTTATCTACAGAAATTGTTGATTGCTTAAAAAAGCTGAAACAATAAAATGAGAAAAGAATGCAAATAAGACTCATCATTTATTGAAAACCTCAATTTAAAATATCAGTCCAATCCAAGTCTGGCACTTGCTCTCTCATTTCAATTGTTGGCCATGTGAGTCACGACAGTGATTATTTTTACCTTTTGCACACTCAATATTATAGCGACATCTATTATTAAAATAGCTTGTAGTAAATGCATTCATAGCATTTCCCTGTAGTTGCGATGTTTCCTATTAAGTTCCCTTGTAGTACTGACACATTCATGTTTGACACTTGTTAACTACATACCACAGGGGAATTTAATTGGTAACATCGCAACTACAGTGAAATGCTATGAATGCGTTTACTACAAGCTATTTTAATAATAGATGTCGCTATAATATTGAGTGTGTGTGCACTGAAATCAAAATTGTTTACTTTCATACATTTATGTGAGCTGAGTAAAATATATGAGAATTTTAGCTATTCTCCAAGACACGGTGTCCACAAATAGCTCCTAATTTGGATTAGATACGTCTGCCAGTGATCTACCTTGAGAGAAAAGAAATTATACATAACAAATATTTTTGAATATCAAAAGAAATTTATAGAAAATCATATGAAAAATTAAACTGAATCGGTCAAACAGTGCCCCACATTAACTGGACAGTTGTGTACACAACCGATTCTTTGGAATTTCGTTTTTTACACCTCTTAATATGTGTTTCAAGGTCGATCGTGCGTAGTTCTGCATATTTAGAAATAACACATGAGCCATTGCCAGGTCGGCAAGGCAATTGATTAAACAAAGTGAACGGAAATGATCTTTTGCTCGGTGCGCAACAATGAAATATCAGCACAAATCACGAAAGAAAAAAATTAATTGTTTTTTTCAAATATTTTTTTTAATTTTTCTAAATAAAGTAGTTTTTATGGTTTAAAGGTTTGGCTCTTTTCATAAATTATTAAACAAAAACCTAGGTCATACAACCAAGAAGGAAATGCTTGGAAGTAGTCAGATAGTAAACGGTTCAGAATAACCATTGATGAACCTTTCCAAAAAGGACAAAGACTATGTGAAGAGTTAAATGTTGTACATGTTTTGTTTGTGACTTTAGGATTGCAAAAGTCATCATTCAATTTATACCGTAGATAAATTGACGAGAAGTTTTATGTCAGATTAGACAGATCCATGTTGTTTGCAGAGTGCTATGAGTTCAATATTACACCATAAATTTTACATTTTATAGTTTTGATCAATTACAAAGGGTTAAAATGGAATAATTCCTAGTATGGATCCTACTAGTTTTGAGATCAATAATATTTTTTGTCTACTTTCAATTTAGTCTGACAGCGATCTGGGTACATCACGACATTGTAATTTTTATTTTCAGATTCGTTCATCGGTGGTCAGTTTTTGCATTGGAAAGTAGTTCCTATTGTCGATCATATGTTGTGCTCTTGTCACATCAAAAGCTAAGTACACAGTTCCTTGTGAAATGAAAAAATTTCGCTGGTGAAATCTTCACAGGTGATATTTGTATGGTATTTTTTTATTTTCGAATTGCAAGCATAATGATTTTTGATGCATGAAACAGTTAACTCCTTCCAATGTCAACACGACACATGAACAAATTCGGTTTTTGAGTTCATTCTTCTATGTGTTTTGTCTGAACAAATTTTTTTCACGGTCGTGAAAAATATTTCGCGTGCAAAATGTACGCGAAATTTAAAAAAAAAAATAAGAAAGACCAAAATACATTAAAGAAAGAATTCAAAATTCAAATTTGTTCATGATATTGGAGGGAGTTAACTGTTTCATACATCAAAAATCATTATGCTTGCAATTCGAAAATAAAAAACACCATACAGATATCACCTGTGAACATTTCACCGGAGAAATTTTTTCATTTCACGAGGAACTGTGTACTTAGCTAAAGAAACAAATAAATCAGTCATTGTACTTCTCACTAAGCATTTTTGCTCTTTGGAAATCGATCACAGTTTTTTTTTTTGTCTGAGCTTCTTTCGGTGAAGTCTTGAGTAAATACTGAATAAATACATAAATATCTAGGCTAATTTCTACGGAAAATTACACAATCAAATCACAAGTAAACAGAAAATTCTCAGTCAGAAATGTTTCTGTACGGCAATATGATAGCTGAACCGGCTGTTTTCTTATTTATTATTGATTTGATTTTGTAATTTTCCGTACAAATTAGCCTAGATATTTATGTATTAATTCAGTATTTACCCAAGACTTTGACCAAATGGTGCTCAGACTTCACCCAAATGATGCTAAAAAAAACTGTTTTCGATTTCCAAAGAGCAGAAATGCTTAGTGAGAACTAAATACATTGACTGATTTATTTGTTTATACAATACATATATCGAACATTCATCTCTTTGATCAGATTCATGGTGTACATTGTGGGTGGCTGGTGTGAATGGCTCGCAGTGATCCGCCGGTCTCGTTTATTTAGCGCTATATAAATGTTTTTTTAAATTGTTTTTATTGTATTTGCACCAAATTAATGCGGTATTCAATGTGCATTTGAACACTATATAAATTCACGTCAACAGTAAATTTTACATGAATTACATGCCCTTAATATAGGTTTCGTGCCATTTTTACAAATATAATTTTTCTTTCTTTTGGTTACATTTCATCGTTCTTCCCTCGATTGCGTTTGTGCAATTGAAGGAGAGCGGAAGAAAGCCCAGCACATTATTTCAATGAAACAACAAAATGTTCGGTGACGGTGTGCAAAGCGTGAAAATAAATATCAATGTAATGAATTTATTACGAATCATAGGATAAATACAGCTGAAGTAGAACTCTTGCTTGTTTTCTCAAAAGACCTTCAAAACTCAAGCCGCTTTTATCTAATTTGACATATTTTGGTATGGCAATACACTCACGCTGACAGTCATTAAAGAGAAATGCACAAAGTCGACGTCAACTTGCAGAAAAAATTCATTTCAAAGTCAACCGAAAAAATTGGTTCTCAAGCTGTTAATTTAAAGCTACAAATGGTTATGGCATTCGATTGAGTTTAAACATGAAAATACATCCAATTTTTTTCAATGATAAATTTCACGGATTCTTTAAAATTAGTATTCGTTTACATTTATGGCCGTTTTATGACTTGCGAAGTCTAGAGCAATCGAATGTTCATTTTTATGGTAACATTTAGCCACTGTGCAAAAATTGATGTGATCGGAAATATTTGATGAATTTCAAGTTAATGACATGTTTTTCAGATCATTAAAACGCCAATTTCAACGTATACGTTTTCACTGTCTCTTCTCAACATATCAGAACAATATTTATTTTACCCATTAAATGGTCATTGGTGTCAGTTCAGTGTGATCGACATGTGCAGATGTAGATTCGGTCAATGAGTTCGTTTGCAGCTTTTTTCTTTGCTTAGTTCGTGTGTTGAGTGCTGTGCAATTTTTTCATCCCAAAAATTTTGGCATTCGGTGTGTGTGTGTTAATTGGAATGGGCGAGTTTGGGCAATATTTTTCCGTCATAAGGATCTGTATTAATTACGTGCACACGCCAGATAAAAAAAAAGAATGCAGTTAAAGGCAAAAATGACACGAGTCGAGCATTTTTTTGTCGTTTTCAATTTCGCTTGAATTCCGTTTTATTTCAGACTGGTACCGTGTATTAAATTCAGCTGGGGCCATACAATTAAAAACTGCATAACGGAAATAAAAGTTTTTTTGTTTCCACGACGATTGAACGAATGCGATGACGAATTTCCAACACGGAAATTATCTTCCGATCGTAATGTTATTAATTTATATAAAAGTCAGAAATGTAAATATATTTATCTGATGAAAACGATGAAAAAAATCTATATTTTGCATCACATACATTTCTGAACCATTGAAATAATCATAGCCAAACGGACGAGAGCACATACAATTGGCCATGTGATAACATCGACATAAAAAAGCAGTTAACGGAACAAAAGTTGCATAATTTTGAAATATCATAATATTTGCTAGCTTCTTTTAGCCGCAGATCTGCAAATGATGCAAACATGAGAAAGACTCACCGAACGCCCGTAGAATTCTTGTTAGCATAAATTTACATTATCATTGTTATTACATATGTCATGAAAATGTTGCGGTAATGAATTACTTTGCTTGACATTCAGTCGTTCGTTTTTTATGTATGCGATGATACGATTAAGACCACGAAAACATACTACCACAACAAAGGCACTAGACACACCAATCCAGCATAAATATGGTTTTTCTTATTGAATTAAATAATAGCTTTTACTCCAATTTAGATTGAGATAAATAAATGGCTAAGTTTTCTGATCAAGATATCTAATACGCCAGAATATTTTATTATTCACATTAAATTTATAATAACGATATATAAAAAATACACTCATTCAATGCCGCAAGTGAACAAGTGCTTTGTTGAGACTGAGACTTGCAATCGAAGAGACTGATGAATATTCACGCGAATGCAATGACCATTTCCATTTGTGAAACGGACATTGAAAACGTGGTTTAAAGAAAGTGTTAAGGTGGTGGCCGAACAAATTTCGAACAAATGAATCTCTCTCTCTCTCTCCCTCACACACACTCTTCAAATGAGAATTCATTAAATCACGATGAAGTGCATTTTTTATTTTTGTACAACAGGAAATAAAACGCGTTTTTGTTTGTGGCTTGATTTTTTATGGC